AGGAGCGTACCTAGTCCGGATTCAGTACTAGGCATGATACATTTCAGAGTCGGACCATAGACGCTGTACATTTTAATACGTTTCGCCGGTATCGTCAGTGAGCATTGCCATACTTAGCGCCACGCCACACCTTGTTAAAGAGACGACCGAAAGCGATGGTCTGCTAAACAATCGTGGTATCTCTCTTTCCGACCTGGGCTAATTGCCAATCATATATCCTCGTATCACCCCTTCATTATCACAATTTTTAATTGCGGATTTCATGAAAACCTTTAACGCCCCACGATAGCTTTCTTACACCCTCACCTTCCTTCACCATTGTGCTAGGAATGTTGATCAGAGTCTGCCATATTGCTACCCATTCCTCCTTACCTAGGTCTTATCAGAGTCTCCCTCTTGCCCCGTAGGATTCGTCTGCTATCTCCCTAGTTCAAATATTTCACTCGACCCCTTCCACTCTATCTGTGCTACCCAAAGCATTATTTCCCACTCTCCGCATTTGGGAGACTAACTTGAGGCTAAAAAGTCCGAGTAATTCTCATGGTCAAGCCTTTGTTTTATGGAACACATCTATGATCAAACACATCTAATGTTTTGCGCATTTAAGTATTATGTCGAGACTACCAATAAATCAGTAATTTGAGATATATTCACCCAATTTCGTTCAAAGTGATGAAGAACTGGTTGAAGAATTTTCTCACAATTATATAAGTGGAGCTGACGTTTCAATTGAATTTCACATAGCCTTGCTTTCCCAAAAGTTGTTCTCATGTAGGGGGAACTGCAATTTCGACCTTGCATGGGTCTTATCAACACCTCAAGCGGGAGTCTAACCATAAAAGTGCAGTGTGTGAGCTCGATACGTTAACCACTACTCTACATTGCCATAAGGGCCCTTGAGTCACAGGGCAGATGTGAATTTCAAGGACTGTTAGGCATTTTCCATATCATATTCTGTTTTGTGATTGTCAATGAAGCAAAATTATATTTGCTATAGCGATCGACGGCATTACTTATTTTTCGTATTTAAGTAGAGTGTCAAGACTACCAGCTAATCAGTAATATGAGATGTATTCACCATATTTCGTTTAAGGTGATGAAGGACTGGCAGTAGAATTTTCCCACAATTATATGAGTAGAGCTGACGTTT